AACTCACTGCGCTGGGGACTGCCGCGTCAGGTTTCTGAAGCCGTAGCTCTTTCTTTACGGGAGGAGATAGCCACATCGTTCTCTAGCAGAGTGAGTGGCTGGTGGGTTTGAACTGCTGATTTACAATTAGCAGCCCAACTCATACCTCATTATGCCACCAGGGCTCCTAGAGTCAAATAGGGTTCAATGGACAGGAAGAGCAAAGTGCAGTGAATTGCAGTAGAATCTGATACCTTGGGCCCTTGTGGTGCAGCAGTGAAGTCCCCGGTGGCTGTCAGAGGACCACCCTCCAACACCCAAAGGGTCCTTGGTGCAATTGTATGGTTATAATAGATAAATATTATAGTAAAGCCGTAGAGAATAGGAAAGATAGGAGAGAGAATAAAATTAAGGAGTCAGACACATTTTAAGGTAGAATGCTTACCTCAGCTCCTCTTGGTGATCCACGTGGAAGTGGGCGAAGAGAGAGTGTCTTTACCATCTTGGGATATTTATAGGTAGCCATAAAACATGCATATTCAGCAGTTACCTGCCTACAGTAAGGTCCCTGAGCTCACAGGTCAGGAACCTAATACCTGCTTTGGGGAAAACAATGAGGGGGGCTGGGTAACACAGCAGTAATTGAAGGTGTGGTAGTTACATAATCTGTTGTCAATTTGAGACTATTAAGATTGAGGGGTGGAATTTAGCCTGTCAATCAGGTCGCAGCTTGATGACCTCTTTGGAGGCACCAAGGAGATAATAGCTCAGGGGAGGCGGGACACATGCTCACACCCTGCGAGGCATTCCTGCTGACAAGACACAAGGAACTACCCTAGTGCCCTGGAGCTGGAGGGGCCAAGTGGAGACCCCTGCCAGCGCTGAGATGCTTACGCAGCCACAGGATTCACAAGACTTTCCACGAACTGGGCTGTGACTTTCCTGAATTCAATGTCATTGAATGTGTTTCATGAGTCTGAAGAGGAGTTTATACATTGGTATCTGACATATCAGCTAATATCAGACTTAGGGACTTGATCGAAACTGACCTGGAATATTTTCTCAATATACAATTTCTCTTTTATAGGAAGCTCTTTCTTAAACATCTATGAGTGTCTAGGAATTAGTTTCAGTAGTCACACCAGACTACCACAAATAGCAACAGGATGTCTACATCAGGAGGGAGATAAAATCAATCATGTGATGACTTTAAGGCAACTAGCTGTTAAGGCAGAATTGGTGGGAATGATATTTAAAGCAGGATAATGTACTTGAACTTAATCTCTAACTTACCAAAGTGAAGGTTCTCCTACCGTGGATTACTAGCTTTCCAGATTCCCTCTGTTACAGGTTAGGGAATGTAGTCCTCTTCATATTACCTGCATTGTTTGTTTACCACAACTAACGAGAGCTGGCAGTGAGAACAATCAGCTGCTACAGTGGAGAAAGATGTGGCAGTCTGGACTGTAAAAAGGAATCTTTAAACCCCTGTGGGGACTTCTGGGCCCATGGGGAGGCTATGGGTTGGAATCTAATCAGGAGCACTGGGTTATGACGCAATACTGTTAGTCTATCAGGGACAATATATTATAACAGTACTATAGGTCTATCGGGGGCAGTGGATAATGACGGCCCCAAAGGGCTATCTGGGGCAGTGGGTTATGAAACAGATCTGTAGGTCTATCAGGGTCAATGTGTTATGACACAGTACTGCTGGGTCTATCAGAGACTGTGGTTTAAGACAGTACGGCTGGGTCTATCAGAGACAGGGTCTATCATGATACAGTACTACTCATTTAGCCAGAACATTGGTAATGATACAGTAATATGGTCTTTGAGGGCAGGTAAGTTGTGAGAAACTACTGTTCATCTACCAAGGACAGTGGGTTATGATATAGTACGGTTGGGTCTATCAAGGTCATTGGGTTAGGGCAGTACTGTTTGGTCTATCAGGGATTTGGGCTATGAGAGTACTATTAGGGCTATCGGGGACAGGGGCTATGGAAGAGTACTGTCTGTCTATCAGGTACAGTGAGTTATGACAGTGCTGTTGGGTCTATCAGAGACAGGAGGTTATGACACAGTGATGTTCTTTTATCCAAAACACTGATTTATGATACAGTACTATGATCTATCATGGCTGGTCAATTATGACACAATACTGTTTAATCTAACAGGGATGTGGGTTATCACATAATACTGTTGGGTCTATCAGGGGCAGTGCACTCTAACACAGTACTGTCTGGTCTACCAGGGAGAGTGGGTAAGGGCTCACTGCTGCTGGTCTATCAGGGCCAGTGAGTTATGACATGGTACTGTTGGGCCCATCAAGGGCAGCAGGCGATGACACAGTACTGTTGGTCCATCAGAGGCAGTGGGTTAGGACACTGTACAGTTGGGGGTCTCAGGAGCAGTGATTTGGGACACAGTATGGTTGGGTCTATCAAGGACAGGAGGTCATGACCATACTGTTGGGTTGATCACAGACAATGGGTATGATATTACTGTTGGGTCGATGAGCACAGTGGGTTATCACCTAGTACGGGTGGTCTACCAGGGACAGAGTGTAAGAACACAGTAAACTTGGGGCTATCAGGGGCA